CATGAATCCAGTCTTTTCTTTTGCTCTAAAATAAAAAATATCAGTAAATATTAATACATTTTGATCATTTAGTTGTATAATACCACACCTTCTGGCCTGAAACCCCCCCTCCAACATGTTTGAAGTGGGCCATGAGCCACCAGTTGATAATCACAGTTTTAGCAAGTGTTGCAGCTCCATACATATTTTCTTTAGTGTTCTAAGAAGCAGAAATGGCTCTTTTGATCATAAAGGTTGCATACCCCTGATCTAGCTCCAATAAGCTGCAATTATGCAGCCACAGGTTGCTCCAGGTGCAGAAGGAGCTATTTAAAGGGTGAACTGACATTGTTGGATAATAATGCATGTGGTTTGGTTTTATTTTAAAGCATTGCTCACAGGAGCTTGACGGGAGGCACTTTGCAATCCCAATCGTTGGACAGTTGGACTTGAAAAAAAAGCAATTCACTGTATGTTCCAGCTGTACGATGAAGGCATTAAAACAACACTGCATGTATGCACAGCCACCACTAACGCAGCTTGCATTTTCCACGGTTCTCATAAAAAATGGTAATGATCTAAAGACTGAAAACACTCAACCTTGCCAAGAAAATGTCAAGATCTGTCAGTGCAAGCACAGTTTTAGAAATGGTCCTTTTCACTGTGTCTGGCGGTGTTAGTCTGGGTGGAAGTGGGCGTTGGAAAACGACCTCCTGACACCTCTTTAACAAGGTGGGCAAGGCCTGGTGAATCAGCCCAGTCACTCACTCAGTCTCCCACTTCTGACGCACGCAGCCCGACTCCCGAGGCACGTGTTACAAACAGATGTTGTTCTTGGGGAAGTTGCCAGGAATTAAATAGCAGGAGGAGATAATGTATAGTTGGTTGTTTACAGGCAGGATGCTTTGAGGGCAGTAAGGCGGTGACAGCAGACAGGTGGCAGAACACATGTGGTCAGAAAGTGTCTCATCAGAGATCTCAGTGATGCTGATCCAATCTGTTGCATGTTTCAGATGTCACCTGCGACCCAGCAGATGCAGCCCACGCAGACGCTGCAGTCTCCACCACCCAGTGGGGGGCGACGCAGGCGCGTAGTGGACGAGGACCCGGACGAACGGCGGCGCAAGTTTCTAGAGCGAAACAGAGCGGCTGCGACGAGATGCAGACAGAAGAGGAAAGTCTGGGTGATGTCCTTAGAAAAGAAAGCAGAGGAGCTCACTCAGACCAACATGCAGCTTCAGGTACAAAACCATGTGACGCGCTGCGACAAAATGTGTCAGAATGCCTTTTTGAAGATGAAAAACAACACTACTTAAAGATCTTATGAAACAGAGTTAAACTGTTGTGTTTTTCGTTCGTTCCAGAATGAAGTGACCATGCTAAAGAATGAGGTGACCCAACTCAAGCAGCTCCTGCTCACTCACAAGGACTGCCCCATCACCACTATGCAGAAAGAGTCCCAAGGTTACCTCAGTGAGTAGCTCAAAACAAACACAGATGAATACACACACTTCTGGGATTTTGACCAAACACACACACACACCAGCGCTGCAGACATAAGTCTAATGAACAACCAGTGGCTGCCAGGACTCTTCGCTCTGATGTGCTGGTATCCAGCTCCCACGCTCAGGACAGGACTCACTTCTTTCACATGTGGGTGTTGTACACTCTGGTTGCCGGCCCGGACTGGGAGTTGGTCGTCTGAACCTCCTGAGAGACTCATTTTTCCATCTGACAGCCTCTCTGTGCACAGAGGCGGCGCAGGATCAACGTGAGAAAGGCAACACAGTCTGCACATTGGCAGACTTCTGCAAATGTCCACAATCTCTTTGACGTTTGGACTTCAGCTCAGCTTCACATGACATCAGAACCTCCCCTCCCCGTTGATATGGACTCATGTATATAGGATAAGGAACCTCCCTGTGTGGCGTTAGCAAAGGAAAATAAGGCTCACGTCCCCAATTGCTGAATGGCTCTATTATGCAGCAGAAAGCCTCCGCCCAGGCTGGGCAGGAAGGACTTTCATCGATGAGTCTAGCTTGTGGACAGATGTCACCTTCAATGTGTCTGACGTCCATCAGGTGTGTTCCATATGAGGTGACTGATTCACTTTTCCATTTCGTATTGCTCTTTTTGTTTTTTAATGTTTCATGTGAAAGAAATATGTTTTCTTTTTTAATCAAATTATTTTTTACGAATAAATAAATATCAGTGACATTTGGTTTGTGTTTATTTTGATATTTACCATCATGGCCAAGTTCTGAAATCTGCACGTACAGGTTTGAAATCCTAGAATCAAAACATGTCCTATCCTGAATGAGCCAACAAAGTTCAGTCAGGTCATCTGGACGGTTTCTTTTTTTTTTTTTTTTCTTGAGACATTTCATCCTTCATCCAAAGGACTTCATCAGTCCGAGAAGCCCCAACATACGGAGTCCCACAAGCAGCACCCACATAGTGGATCAACCAGTTTGCTGGTGATAAGATGGTTTCTGGGGCCAACCCTCTCCCCCGTCGACTCCTTTCAGGCAGCCATAGCCAAAGTGGTTCAAAACTTCAAAGTTCTGATGAAGTCCTTTGGATAAAAAAAAAATGTCCTGATGAACTAGCTGAACATTGTTGGATTTTTTTTACCTGGATTACTGAGCATGAACTTTGATCCTGAATGATGTTTCTGTTTTCAGGTCCGGAGAGCAGTCCAGCGGGGAGCCCCACCCCAGCATGTTCCCAGCAGCAGGTCATTCAGCACAACACCATCACCACCTCCACCACCACCGTAGGGGGCAGCAGTGTGCACGGGCAGGCCAACCGCCGCACAGACATTAACCCCATTCACTAGGGACTACGATAACTTGATCTGCAGCCACGAACCTCCCCCCTCACCTCCTTCGCCCTGCTTTCTGAGGGTTACCAGCTGCACACGCTGCCCCCGTTTCCATCAGGCGAAACCTCAAGGGCCTGCGAGGCTGCTCTTTATACAGTAGCTACAGTATATTTTTATAGATCAACCCTATTAACAAATAATAGCTCTAAGGTTTGTTCGCTAATGTTTTCAGTTCAACTTTTAGAAGATTATATTTTGCAGAAAGTAAGGTTTGCTAATCTCACACACCATTTGTGTGACTTCCTCTGTTGGCTGTGAAACCAGAGGAGGAAGGGGAATAAATCACCAGAGAAACGTCTAAATAAGAATTCAAAGTGTCAGATGAGGAAATTGAGCATTTCATACAGATACTTAGTCATAAAAGCAGATGTTGGTTTTCCTGAAAACGTAAATGACTGTTAATGTTCTCGCTGTCATGACTATCCTTAAAAGCTTTCATTGTAGGTTACAAGACAGCGATTATACCATATGATCAATGGTAGCAATATATCAAAGCATTGATCATCCTTTCTACTGTACGCTCACATGTTGATCAGAATGGCCAAGGACATAAACCATGATGTTTCAGAACTGAACACTGTGATACTGGTGAGGCAGCTCAGGGGCTGAGAGCTCCTCCGCTCTGCAGGACCAACAAAGCTTTAATCATAAAGGCCTTATTTTATTCTCTGAGTGCGTTTAGCGCTGCGCTTTGGATAAAACAGTCCAAAGGAAATCAGCTTTGCATGTGAATATTGTATATTTATGTCCCTTCTTTTCTCTGCAGAGCAAAGTTCGGTAGCAGGGAAAAAAAGAAAGTGAGAAAGCGTGTGTCGTTTATTCCTTTAAGGAACTGGCGGGTTTCGAGCGATCATTCCTTGTTTTCCAAGTCGTCACAGCGTGCCTGAATCTGTTTGCAAATTTTTGTTGCCTTACTAATATGCAACCACAATAATTATCTTTAGTTTTTCCCAAAACAATGCCTGTTTTTTTTTGTCGTTTTCTCTGTCACAAAGTATCTCAGATAAACGTAGTTCTGCTCTGCCAGCTTGAATACGTTCTCGTTTTGACCACAGATTGTCTTGTTTTTCTTTCCTCTGTGACCAGGAATGTCATTTCGATTGCATGAAGACCATAATGCACTGTGTTTTGCAGCAGGGCGGGTGAATTTTATTCCACTGACAGGTGGAGCGATCACAGAGCTGTCCATGCACTTTGTCCTCTGTCACGCCAGAGGGTGGAATAGCCATATTAAGGTCAGAGTAATTCTCTGTGATCCCTCGTCTTCACACACCAGCGAGAAACCTAACGGTGTTTTCCGTTTTGGAAGAGTATGTGCCTGGCTTGTATCACGATGACGCCACGCCATTCGGTTTATGCTCGCCGTGTTACGGAAGGGTCTCCCGCTTTTCTCATTCATCCTAACCTTTTGGACACATTTGCAGATTTTGTGTCATCACCTAGTTCAGTTTGTGCGATGACGAGTCCGAGAAATCCACTTGGAAAGGGCTTCGTTGGACCGTCCCTCTGATCTAAGGCTCGACTTATTTTTAATTGCTCGTTTTTTTAAGACTTTGATCCAAAATAACCTCTTGCATGTGAAATTTGTTAACGGCCTGAAAATATTTGCAACTGGAATAAGTAGACCTAAAACTTACATTTGAACTCTTCTTTTTTTTTTTATTCTTTTTTGTAAGGAAATAAAAATATTTGTTACTCTGTAAGGTCAAATGGAAGTACAGTGTGTGTGTGTGTGTGTGCGAGGCAGAGAACAATTCTCTTATGAATAAGGTTGTTTGTATGTATGTGTGCTATTTTAAGTTTAAAAAGTATAAATATTGTACATAACATCATTAATTTCTATAACCCTGTACATGCATTGCAATCACCTTTCTTTTTGAAGGGAATTTAAACGCGTGGTACATTTGTAAATCGTGTTTTCACTGCACTTGTTCCTTTTCTCTGTTTGTCAAGATGTCGCAGCTCATTTCAGTGCTTAAAAATGATACGTAATGAACTGACCAATCCATTGTTGCCTGCATAACTTTGTACATTTTTTTTTGGTCTGTGTGTTTGTAATTACGTTGTTTTATTTTTGCATTTGTACAGACATTTAATATTGTTGCAGTTACATTACGATATGAAATAAAGCACTTGTTCGGTAACGTAAAATGTAGTTTATTTGATTCGATTTCTGGCCTTCTTCAGACTTTGTTTTTATTTGTGAGAAAAAGACGTTAAAGTGATATGATCGACATCTTTCCCCCCCGACGCTCGCCCTTGAAATATAACTGCTCATTAAATAGTTAGATGCTTTAAGGGTTTAGAATACTCATTAATTATTAAACTGTCTAGACAGCTTGATTGATGCCTGATGGAACGACATGGTAGTTAATGTCAGCACACACATGCAGCGTTGCATTCACATGAAAAGGGACTGACATCCTGTAATTATTATTTATTTTTTCAACCCACGGTGATGAGAAGAGATCACGTCTTACAGATCTGATTTTTATAATAAACACGATAAGTTACATTTAAAAAATGGTTCTTACACGTTTACAGCTTTAAGGTTACATGTATTACTAGAACCTGCTTTTGAATCTTAAATTAATATTAGGACCTCTAAACCAGAGGTGGGCAACTTTTTTTTCCCCAAAGGGCCACATCAAAATGTTTAAAGCAATCAAAGGGCCGCATAGAGAATTGGAAAATATATTTTCTTGACAACAGATAATCAAGGGAAGACTTTCTTCTTATTGTAGCATAGTTAGTAGCATCCTTTATAAAACAAGTCTTTCCAAAGTCCTTTAGGAGTATAAGTTATTTTCTGTAAAACGGCTCTTGTGACAATGCATTGACACATGTTTAACATGTGTTAGCGGAACTATGCAAAACAAACATACAAGTTAAATGTTTTTTTTTAAGTTTTGCGTAAGATGTTTAATTTAAATTTCCTTGTCTCATTGATAAATTACTGGCTTTTAAAAAAAAAAAAAAAATCAATCTTTATTTTAAAAGTTTTGTTTTTAACTAAGGATATTTGGGGCCTGATGGAGATTGTCCAAGGGCCACATTTGGCCCTCGGGCCTTAAATTGCACTTGTCTGCTCTAGTACAAAATTCATTTCAGGGCATTACACATAATATCCAACAGATCCTCTTCAAATTTTATTACATAGATGATACAATGCTAATCAGTTTAATCCAAATAAGACATCAGATTGCATCATGTCCTTATAATGTATTTAAATGTACTTTTCTAATGTCTTCTTCAAAATGTATCTAGACATGGTTTGGCCTGAACTTTCTGTCAGAAATAGAAATCTTTATGAACCATATTTATCAAAGGTTCTACTGCTCCTGCTTTTTTAAGTTTTATACATTTGTAAGCAACAAGAAGTATAAAAGCTGCAAGTTCAGTTGAAACGTACAGAAAAGTTTTTATACTTTGGTCAGATATTAGACAATTCAGAATTTTCAGAACCAAACTTCGCTCGATCAAATATTTATTGCAGAACCTTAAAAACATGTTAAATGAACAACATTTGTTCAGAAGAGCCTGAAATTATCTTCCAGGTTCCTCTGCAGTCTGCTTTCATTTTAAGGGGGGATACAGAGACGCCTGGTGGATTTCCTCTCAACTACTCAGCTTTAAAGTCAGTGAATCTTGTTCACACTTCACAACAGTCTGCAAAATCAGGTTATTAAAATAAAAGCTTTTTATACACATTATTTCAAGTAATTTCACAATTAAAATATCCCAAAGTTATAGCCTTGGATTTCTGAACACAACATATTGTCCCTTAAGCTGTTAAAAAATTAAAAAATAAAATCCCTGAAACATTTATTGTAAATCATCTGTGTTGGTTCAGATAAAAGTGCTAAATCAAATATTTCCTTGAATAAAAAACAAAATAAAACAAAAATAATTTTATGCATAACATATCACACTGCAAATGAATGTACAAAACATAAAGATTACATTTGTTGTGACAATCACCAGTCTTTTAAATCAACACTGAACAATCGATGCTCGTCATGAGGCGGCGGTGTTTTAGCGCAGACATTTTTCACTTCCAGCCTTGTGTCGACAAGAATCTGTCGATCATATCAAAGGATCTTGCTGGCTGGTCGTACGGCAGAATGTGTCCTCCTCCTCGTATGATGACCTGCGTTGCACGGGGACAGATAAAAAGACTTGAAGACTCTAACATGAGCTTGTTGTTGTAAAGGTCCTGGACGTGTGCTCACCTGGTAAAACTCTCCAGTCTGTCGGACGTAACCTGCCACCTCCGTGTCGCTGGGCTGAACCTTCCAGTGGAAGCGGGGGGTTGTTTTATACTCGTCCGCTCCGGTCCAGTTCACGGTAGGCAGGAACCTCTCAGTCAGAGGGGCAGCTACGATCACGTCCAGCTGACCACTGTAGATCAACACCTGCACAAACTCAACCGTTAGGCATCTGGAAGTCTCCCCCACAGACGTGCCAGAGACGTGCACCTCTCACCCTGTAGTTGTCCATCAGCACCCCCAGCCACGGCTTGATGCTCTTCATGACGTCCTGCAGGAGGTGCTTCTCCACCTCGGAGCCATTGTGGAACGTCAGGTTACCCACGTGGATGGCTCGCCGCACCGCAGGCAGCGTCACAAACTGGGAGAAGTACTCCTGGTCCTCCGGTTCCTGGGAAAACATCCAGAGAAGGCACCACTGCTCGCTCAGAACGAGAGGTTTTTAGACGACAAGAGGCCACGTCGGCGCTCAGATTACCTGACATAACAAGTAGTTAAAGTAGTTGGTGCAGCCTGTTGCGTTCTGGAAGAAGGTGGGGTATGGATACATGTCGCCGTTCAGCAAAGAGTCAAAAACCTGCAGCAGGGAAAGAGAAAGAAATTCAGTTTATTCAAAATGTTTCAGATTGTTGCAGACTCGCAGTCGTTAGCCGACTTACTTTATAAGCTTCCACCCACTTCTGCTGCTGGATGAGCTGAGCGGTGAGGCTCGTCTGCTTGTCCACGTACTGTTTCTGGAGTTCATCTACCATTCCTGTCTGATACAGGAAGTCACCATAACCACCCAGCATCTGGTGGGGAGGAAACATTCAAGCAGTGAATAAACAATCCTCATAAACGACTCTACAACTTTTACTATGTGAAGAAGTGATGATTAATCTCCAACTTCTGCAAACGCTAACCTGCTGATTCTGATTTGGTCAACTCGGATTTCTCTTCAAAACCCTTAATAAAAAGCAGTAACATGCCTTTTGTGTTTCTCAACTCACAACCTAAAAATGCTCCAGATAACTGGATACTTTTTGACAAGCTTTTGATATAAAATCAAACATGACAGTTTAAAAAAAAAAACACTTGTAAAGAGGGGAAGAAATACTAAGACTGTTCAGGAGTTTTTAAAAGTTGCTGTATCACACAAGGAGAATTACAGCTCGATAAGTGTTGTTGCTCAACCATGAAAACACTTGCCTCATGTTTGCTCTAACTTTTATGTCAAAATATAAAAGATATAGATAAAAATGAACAATTATTTATAAATTAATAACAATTTGAAATTATTTTTTTTTTCAGTTTTAGCTGCTCTCCATTGGCTCCCTGTCAAGTCCAGAATTGAATTCAAAATCTTACTTCTAACCTACAAAGCCCTCAAAAACCTAGCTCCATCTTATATTTGAGATATTATTGTTCCATATTTTCCTAACTGAGCATGTCGCTCTCAGACTGCAGGCTTACTTGCGATTCCTAGAGTTTCCAAAAGCAGAATGGGAGGAAGATCTTCCAGTTATCAGGCTCCTCTCTTGTGGAACCAGCTTCCAGTTTCTGCCCATGAGGCTGACACATTGTCCAGTTTTAAGACTGGGCTGAAGACTTTCACTTTTGATAAATCCTATAGTTAGGGTTGGCTTGTTATGCTGCCATAGGCTTAGACTACTAGAGGACAAGTTGACCTCATTTCCTTAAATGAATTTTTAAAATTGAATAGTTTTCATTTGATATTATTTTTATCTTAACGTGATTCTTGACCTGCCATTGTGTATCTGTTCCTCCTTCCTGTCCTCGCAAACCCAGTCGGTCGAAGCAGATGACCTCCTGTCCTGAGCCTGGTTTCTTCCAGCCTAAAGGTTTCTTCCTCATGAGGATTTTTCCTTTCCACTGTCGCCTTCATGCTTGCTCAGGATGAGTCTGTGTTGGAGTTAAACTCAAAGCAGTCTGCTCCTCTGATAAATAATGTTAACTTATTTTTTCTATATATGAATGTTTCTGTTCAGTGCCCTGAGATGACTTCTGTTGTGACTTGGCGCTATATAAATAAACTGAATTGAAATTATCCTCAAACACAATACTATTGATGAACTCATAGGATTCTCACATGTACTGTCAGTGGCATGCACTGCCTCTTGAAATAAAAAAACAAACAAAAAAAACCCCCAATGCTGTTATTTAAAGGACATAATGGAAGTAAAAGTCACAAGACACACACCACTTCAGGGTCACAGAGTCCATCTCCAATAGCCATGCCTTTAAAGTTGATCTTGACTTTTGCAGTGGGGTTGTTTTTGTGGATGTAGTAGGAAACAGCAGGAACATACTTGCCTGCATACGACTACACAGAAATAAAAGAGACAACAACACATTTACAATAGTTTATCATCCGTCATCATCTGGTTGAAAGCTATGTAGTGACATGTGCAAGAATGAAGACAAATCTGTTTGTTTTATAGAAATGTGAAGACAATACTGATGTATAAGGTCTGAAAGGGAAAACTTACCTCTCCAGTGGCATAAAACTCATTGGACTGATACTCAGGAAAGAGCTGGAAGAACTGTGTCAAAGCACTTTAAGAGAAAGAGACAAGAGAAGGTGAAGCGTTAAACACCAGAAGAACAAGCAGAGAGAAAAGACGGTTACTGAGTTCGACCTGTAGAGATCTCTGCCAACATCATCCTGGTTCTGAGCAAAACCTTTGTCATCTTTAGTGAAGCTGAAGCCGGTTCCAACCTAAAACAAAGGAAGCAAATCACTTTCTAAACTTCGTTCAACACAGAGGGAAAGATGTGTTTTATTCATTTGCAGGTGGTTTAATACAAAAGAAATAAATACCGGATTGTCAATGTACAGAACGGAGTATCTGGTCGTCCAAGCAAAGTCCCTCATACCGACTGCAAACACAGAGGAACAGCAATCCTTAAACCATATTTATACAACACGATCCCCGTCTGCAGCTGCGGTGCCAAATCACTACCTGTAAGGTTCTTGTACACAACATACGGTCCGTGTTCCACAAACAGGCCGAACATGGAGGTACCACCCGGCCCGCCTTGCAGCCAGAGCAGAACAGGAGCTTCATCCTGGGCTCCCTGCAGGTCCGAACAAGAATAAAGTTAACTCATCAGCGCCATCTAGTGGTGAACAAGTTTGAAAAATTCATGTAAACCTGAGTTTTACTGTGAATACCAATCTGTTTAACAACAGATTGTTCAGGGTGCTGAACAGTGAAACGTCAGCACGCACAAAGAGCTTTAAGTTAAAGGCTCAAGTTGTTGTGGCAGTAGAGGAGAGTCATCCTCGATACATGCTAACAGCACTAACAGGCCACACAACATTCACCTGGAAAACTTTGGCATTTGAAGCATCAAGCGATAAACTTCTCATATATTATATACACACACGTGTATATATATATATATATTATATACACACACGTG